TACATAGATAACCATGCCTACTATAATTTTAATCTTTGTTGTTGAATTATAAAGCAGCATTTTAATTTTGCTTTGTATTTTAGACTTGAACAAAAACTTTTTAAAACTCCATGCCAATATGGTTTTGTAAAGAAAATATTAATTATAATCCTACTAATGAAAGTATAGCACCATCAGTAGTAATTAATTTTAGACTAAAACCCTCTTTTTATATACTAGACTACAATAATTATTTTTAACTAGTTACAAGGCATTATGACAAATAACCTGCCACTAATGAATATCCTTGAAGAATAAGAAGCTGAAGATTCCACAAAGGCAATGGAGATGTGTAGCTAACCTACACAGATAGGTATAGTTGTACTTGACTACTTGCGCGGTTTTGTGGTTCTGATATACTTGGATTATTGATAACTCTCCATAAGATGTTGCTATTTCCAGTTATTTAGAGATCATAGTTTAGGGGATGGGATTCAAACTATAATGTTCATATGGTCCATCAGTTTACTGCCCAATGAGAAAATGGATTTTTAAGCAAAAGGTATCCGGATCTTCACCAAATGACGTAGGGGCAGACATAGCCTCTACTGACAGAAAAGCATCACTGGAGACAGGGCCCAGTGCAAACCCTTGTGGAAGAATCAGAACAACTGGACCCCAGTGTGAGCAACATTAGACATTGTTATTTGTATGCAAGGCAGCTGAGACCAACTCTCTGTCCAACCTTGTTTTCTCATCTCTAATGTCTTATATATTAATTTCTTACTTAAAATCAAGTAAAACATTTATCTTGGCAATTCTTGTGATGATTATATATAGCAAGTACAATAACTGATATCAAAATACATGAAGCTAGCTCTTAGAAGACAGGAATAAAAGAGACAATAGCTCAGAAAGTGAACAGAAAAGTCAGGGTTATCTAGCCATATTGGGCTGAAATATGCTCCAAACTTGAGTTTCCTTGTTTTTCATTTGTCCAATTCTCTTTTCCTGTTTTAATAAAAGTCTGCCTTCTTTTGAAGGGTGATCTTCACAGAGGAGGAATTGGTTCAGGCAGAAGGAGAAGGGAGGAAAAGGTTGAGGTAAGGGAGTGGGTAAATTCGAAGAATTACATGTGCGTGTATGAAAATGTTATAAAGCCCATTATGCTGTACGATTTACATGAACTAATAAAAATATAAATATGAAAAATACTTTCTGAACAGTGTTGCATATTATAAGAATAAGCACACTATTATAAACAGAGTGGTCAACAAAATGGTGACTACTTAAATTTAAAAAAGAAAAATTAAAAGACACACTGCCATAAACTGCACTCAAAACACTCAAATTCACTTATCCCATCATTCTTGCTACTTTTTGAAGCAGGCATAGAAGTCCTCTTTCATGACTGTCTTAAAAGGTATGATACAGAAATACAGCATATGTTGTGGAAGGCTCACAAAAACATGATGGCATGTCTCCATCCACCTTATTCACGGGATATGGCCGTGTGCGATTTCTGGCTCATCCCCCAAACCAAATGACCATGAAAGAGGTAAACACTTTGAATCAACTCAGGACCTCAAGGCAGCCAGGATGGCATTGACCATGGCTGTGTCCAGATGTCCTCCAAAAGCCTCAGGTACTCACAGGTGGGGCTTTGCAGGGCTGGCTGGATTAGTGTGTGTGACACTGAGACTAAGGTGCTGTGGTACTAAGTTAGTCCACTGACTAGAATTAGCATGGTTCTGGCAACACCAAAAATGCTGGTACCCCAGATGGGACACAAAGGAAAGGCAGTTGGCTGCCTCATGCCTCCTGCTGCCAAGCCTTGTGCTGCGTCTCCTCAGCGACACTCTCTTCCACGTTGCCCTGCCTTGGAGCACGAAGACTACGGACAGAAATCTACACCAACGAGGGCTGATGGAAAGCTTTCTTGCTTTAATTTGTGGATTTGGGCTACTTTGTTTGAACAACAAGAAAACTAGCTAAGACACTCAGGGAAAAAAGAAAAAAGAACAGAAATGCATTAGAAGTGGCAGGAGGACAGATGCTTGAAGCCAGGCAGATCCCTTTTTTTTAGGGAGTTAATGGTAGTGTCTTTTACTGCAAGATTTTTTTAAAAAATTTAAACACATCACACTTTCATCAGACCTTATAGAATGTATCTATACACATACAAATATTGGCTTCCATTTGGTCTTTATTTGAAAATAATTGTCTTACTTTACTAAAATAACTCCTGTCACAACTCTTGTTTAGCAACTACTATTTTTTCTTGGGAACCGGCTCAACATAAAGAGCATTCCACCAGTGATTAGATTTGTCAAAAATTCATTTGTGTTTCTATTCTGATTACCTTATAATCGAACAACTTGAAAAGGCTTTTGTTTTTATACCTCTTGAATTCTGCATTTTTCTCAGCATAAATAAAATAAGCATGATTTGGAAACATGTCATGAAGCAAAGCGTCACTATTTTCTGGAAGTTTAATAAACACATCAATGTCCACAGACAATTCTTAATCCTTTTCAGTTTTCCCTCTGTCGTCTTCACAAAGGAAATAGGCTAAACATTGCCTGCACATTTTAAATTCTGCATGAAGGCACTTAACATTGGGGTATGATAAAACCTTGGCCTGTGCTACTAAAGCTGCTATATTGGAGGCTCCTCTACCCTTTCTGGAACTCTCCGTGCAGTGAATGAGATTCATATGATTGACAGCTGCCTTACATACTAGGTTAGGCATTCATCTAAGAGAAAATGTGGTTCATGATTGTAATCTAGATTAAAGCTCTCTGTGTAGCCCAGAAACTTTGATTAAATGCTTTTAACCTTTTGCATAACACATAAAATTGAAAGGCTTTTGGTTTCTAGGTCAGTTCTAGATTTAGTGTGTATTTGTAGGCACAGAGCTATAAAAGGCAGGTTTTAGCTTGATTCAAATGATTTTCCCTCTATACTATTAGAATAGCAAACAAATGAAATGGTCATGTTTCCAACTATCAAGAAGGAGGTTACATTTTGGTCCTGCAGGTCCCTCAATATAATTTACTGTTCAGTTATAGAAAATAACAAATTAAATAAAGTAATGACAGAGTGCAAGAGTACAATGGCACTTTAGTTCATGAACTCAATTTGTGCCAATTTTGGAAAAGATGGCCATATTTGTGTTTGTGTGGGAAAGACCATCATGGCTGTGTTTGACACCTGAGGCAGAATTTTGCAAAGGAAAACAAAATTTTGCCAAACACTTTGGTTTGGGAATCAAATTATCTGTAGCAAAAGCATCCATGAGCTGAGTTACTGCTTCTAAAGAAGTGGGCATCCTGAATGATTTCATTTTGAGTGGAAGTAACACTGTAATATAGCAAAGGTGGGCTGACAAGTTCTTCAAGAAAGAGTATGCCAAATAAATTCTCATCTTACATTTATTTTATTTCCGTAATTTGCCTTACTTTGCTAAGGAGAATAAGGAGAAAACAATAGGAGAAAAATAAGATTTCTCCTATTTGTTACTTAGATTTACTATTTGGATTCTTGAGTCCAGAACTTGCAATTCTTTTACATGTTCCAACTGAAAACATAGAGATAAACTGTAAAGCCTATATTCGAACTATGCAAATGTATTAATTACATCTTATAAACAAGATTGAAAAGAAGAAAATTTCTAACACTATCCTGTCTAAATGAACACTGGTTAAATCTGATGAAGTTAATTTCTTCAATGTAAAAGTATGGTAACTCTTGAATGCCTAGATTTTTTGGTCACCTAAAAAAAGATCCTAACACTACTCATCATCAAAGTAAATTGATTGTGAGGATTTTTATAAAATATGCCTCAGTCATATAATACCATTTTCAGCTTACTCAAATGCTGAAAGATATTTCTTGTTCTCCCAAATCTGGAACGCAATATATTTCTGCCTTTGGTGCTTGCTAGGAAAGCTTTTAAGTAGTGTTCCAAATTCTGAATTAATTTTGGACACTACAAAGTCACACAGGATTTGGTTCGAGAGATAAAGTGGTAGCCAGCATCAAACTTGGAAGCAGAAAACGGGGAAATGTACTTCAACAATTAAAGACGAATATGTTTGAGCTATGAAGTTCCATGAAGAGTTAGGTTTGAAGCTAGCTTTATTTAATGCTAATACAACATCTGCGGTCAGGTGCACAGTGGTGTTTCAAGGATGGGCAACCTACGGAGCTTTCCTGCACAACAGCAAGGAGGAGCTCGTTCTGTGAAAGCCGGCAGCTCTGAGTGGCTGCTCCTGCACAGGGAAGGATGGCAGTGGCACTCTAACTTATTTTCTAAAAAAACTCTTTGATTCAGTGTGCTAAGGATTAATAAAATATGGAGTACTAAAATGACTCCTAGATGTTTTGATATGGCATGTGTAAGGGATTAAGTTTTGGAGATAAGCAAGTAAAAACTATCTCATGCAACCTTAAGAGAAATTATGTAAGTCTGAGAGAAACCCTCCTCCATCATTCCTTGTAGAATCCACTCTTTGCTACAACCGTGAGATGGAATACTGAACAGCACATGAATAAGTTATCTGGGGACATTTCCGATGTGTTTAATGTACATTCATCACCATATCAGCATTCTTAACCTTTAGGCTATTTCTGTAAATACCCAAATTTATTTACAAAGAAATTATCTCCTCACATTTTAATAAGGTTAGTTAATGTGTCCCTGCTGACAACCACCAGTCCATGTACAACCATCAACAACCATTAATAAACTGGGCCAGGCCAATTTCCGTTCCCTCTAAGAGCATCAATTACATAATGAACTCTTCCATCTAAGCAATAAGGAAACAAGTCACACTCCCTGTGCTAGGCCATCAGTGATGCTATGCTGCTGTTTGCAATGTATGTGTGTGAGGAAGACAGACTAAACCAAACCCGATTCTCAGGTACTTAGTTTCATAGCTGGTTAACACCTTATGTGAAAGCATCTCATGTGAGTACTTCCTGCAAAGAGAGTGAGAGTCATACCTTCATTTCCTTACCTTCTATTGCTGATAGGAGAACCCGAGAATGGTCATATGCAATCACATTTGCATATCTATTCTTTGGTTTGTTTACTTCCAAGTTTGAATGTTCCCATGTGAACTGCTGGCCAGGGTCGATTGACTTTAAAAGAAAAACAGCAAACACAAAATCAATACTGAATAACACAGAATTATAGGCATTTATCACAGTAACAAACATGATTTAGAAAGTAAATTCGGAAGCCACACTCCATTGAGATGATTCTAGCTGGGAAGGTGAACACTAATATAAACAGCAAAGCACAAAATGATTAATCATAGTAAGGAACAGTGATCGTCACCAGTATTGATGCCAATGGGGGAAAATCAATACAGCTGTCCTGTTAATATTGGAAAGGCAGGTTTTTAGTTTGACTTCGCCATTTCCTTCTCTTGTGGCCACAGCTTACAAGTTTTGTGGTTCAGTATTCCTCCTGGTTCTGTGAAAACGGCTTTATTCTGATTACTCTTCCTATGAGTTCCTATCTAGACCTGAGGTCAGGCTTCAAGTTGAGGCGGTGTTTAGAAGCTGCCCTGGAAATGGACTACGTCACGGTTTCCTCTCCTACATGCTCTTGACTGAGCACAACAAGGCTTTTTCCATTTCTTCATAACACACTGTGGCCAATATCGCAGGGAGCTGCACATTTCAGCTCATAATAAAAGAAAAAGATGTGAAGTCAAATAATGACTACACTTAGACTACTAATTTATAACCACAGCAGATAATTGTTTTTCTCTGTATCGCTGTATTTTTCCATTTAGTATTGTGCTATCATTTTGCTCATTAAGTTTGTCATTTTGTTCCTTATTGTAATCTCAGTTCTTATTTTTCATCTTCCTTTGATGTCAGAATAAAGACACAATTATTGAATAATGTAAAATATTACCTACATAAAATACACATTTTATAGTTCAATTAGACTGTTGTTTTATAACCATATTCAGCATTGATTATAAAACTTTAGGTGATGTGTTAATTTCCAGCAACGGCACAAAAGTCAAAGCACCTTTCCTTTCATCATAGGATCCTGATACCTTCAGGTTTTTAATTTCACAGTACATGAGAACATAAGCTGAAAAATCATATAAATATGACTTTAAATGTTTAAAATGAACATTTCAATAATAAGAAGTATAGTCTGATGGAAATTTTTTTTGAAAAGTTACTAGAATAGTTAACCACTATTTTTGATGCAGAGTATTTTACATATTTCAATGTGTTTATGTAGAAGGTGAAAGTGAAACAAATAAAACAGCACTCATGTGCTTGTGAAGAGACACATATCCTGGCAAAGGGTGTGGGAGCTGAGCACAACATTAAACACACAGGTATAAAAAGCCTTCTGTTGATAGTGTTAAAAAGCCTTCAAACACTATTTTCAGCAAAACTTAATTTAAGAAGGAATATGAACTTTTCATTTTCAACCTGTGTTAATTCTGTTTTTACAAAAGACTCAATCACTGTATACTAAAATAGTAAAATAATCACGCATGACTTTTCAGTCTAAAGAAGAATACTATTGGGACCGGGGAGATGGCTCAGTAGGATAAGCACTTGACTGGCAAAAACAAGGATCTGAGTTCAATCCCTGGTTCTGCCAAAAAACCAAAACAAAAGAAGAATACTATTAAGGACTTCCAGGTTTGTTCCAAGGCAATGTTTCATGTGCCCTGGAAAACATTCTCCTCTCCAAGTGATCTAAAGCAAATGAAGGAAGAGCTCACTGGCCTGGGGGACGCATTCCAGTCAACCCTGAACCTCTTTCACATAGAACAGCTCCACTCAGGGAGCTCGCTTAAAAGTATCTCCAATTTTTCCCCAACCCTGTGGCATTCCTAAATGTAGACCTGTAGAACCTATGGTCTAACTGAAGTCTCTCATCTTCTCTGTTACTCCAATTTGTTCTTTTATTTTAATGTACTTAGTACAGGGTCTACAGAGTCTCACTATACAGATTGGACTCATAGTGCTTCTCCTGTTTACAGCCTCCCACGTGCTGAGGTTACAAGCATGCGCCACCATGCCGCCCAGTCTCAGTCACCTCCTCAGTGCACCCCGGGGGCAGGGCCAGTACAGCATGCTGGGGATCATACCCCGGTCACTGTGCTCTGCCTAAGCAGGTGCTTTATTCTGCTGAGCTATCTGGCCGGCCCTCCCAATCTATTCTTTATACTACCCCACAGTTGTTTCCTGAAGGGCACGTGTGTGTTAGGTTCCTGCTGAATAACTTCTCCTGCCTCTGGGTGGGTTCACAGCTCAAATTCTGAACTCCTCAGCCAGAGCTTAAAGCCTACAGCTGTAGCCCCCTGTGCAGCTACACTATACCTGACTGTGTAAATGCTCCTAGAAATTTTACATGAGTAGAACTTGTGAATAAATGTGTTTGGCAAAGTTCGTGAAGAGAGATCACAGAGTACTTTTCTATGTGATGTAGAAGTTAGAGAACAATGAGGCTGCAGTGTACAGTGTACCAACACTTTAATATACAGTTTAGGAACTATATAATCCTGAGAAAAGTGTCCTTGCTATTTCTCTTCACACTGATGAATTTTAGAGAATACACAAGCCTCATGTACATTATTCAAATATTCCAGGAAGCTCCTAAGCTTATGAATATCCAGTGCTTCTGGTATAAGATATTACGACCTCTGAGAGCTTTGCTTTGCTTAGACCAACATCCTCCTCAGGTATATGATTGGCATAGGCTTCATTTAACAAGGAAACTGTATCTTTCAACTCCAGGACAGTGTCACTCATGTCCACGTCTCCTCTTGCCACCCGTCTTTAGCCTCTATGTGATTTGATACAATGAAGAGTTTATCTATACTGGACTGGAAGGGGACAATGGAGCTGTGTGCCATGTACGCTAACGCACTTAGTCTCAGACTGTGACTTTAAATATATGACAATTAAAAAAATAGCTGCTAAGTTATTATCCTTTCCTCGCAGAGTTGTTTCATTTTCACAATTATTGAGTTTTTTTTTTTTTAAACTTGGGATACTTAAGTAAAGAAAGGGAATCAAGTAAAGAAAAATTAATTCAGGATAGCTTGCTGAGGGCCTTCTCTGTAGCAGGTACTATGCTTCTTGGGGTTATCCGGCATCTGACACAGCTAGACTCAGAGAGCTCCCCTCAAGTGCAGGTTTGTCTGATCCAAAGCTCAGCTGATAATTACCAGCCAGCAATCAATGAGCCGCAGTGCTACTTAACTATCCAGGACGCTACCCACTGTGAAAGAAAGCAGTCCAACATTTGAAACACAGCTAACCATGACTAGCTTCGACCTGGGCACTCCGAATAATGTGTCTTCCCAACTTACCATCCTGTGTCATTCTGGGACAATTACATAAAAAAATCACATTTTAAAAATGAGTTTGGCTTCACATGGATGATGAAACAGACGGGACACAGCTTACATTTATACTTGTTTTACACGGATCAGACAAACATTGATTCAATAATGCTGACTTGTCCTTGTGCAACACAGCATCATCCATCTGTATCTTTCTGTCTGACGGAACATTTAACAATACACAGTACCAGTCATTATTTTTGGAGCTCATCGGGATGCTGAAAGTAGTAAACTCAGTGGAGAAAAACAGCAATGGTCAGTGAGGTAGACTCACATCTTTTGTATTTTGAGAAAAAAAAAAGCAGCCTTACTGAGGAAACCTGTTCATGGTGCCCCTTACTAAGCCGAAGATGTCACAGATGAGTAATTCTAATTCCCCAAACCCACTTTCTAGGCTTTTCTTAGTGCTCACACTGATGCAGTCTCTGTTCTGTGCCCTGCTTGGCTGCTGTGTCTCAAAGAGAAGTGAAATGACCAACACAGATGGGAGCAACGCAGAGCTTGAGGAGAGAGAAGAGGTGGGCGGCTCCAGCCTCAGCTTCTGTCTGGTCGGCCCTGACCAGGCATCTTCCCACTATAAGGCCCAGCTGAGGCCACCCCCACATAGGCACACTATTCCTCAGGGACTTAGTGAAGCCCTCTGGGGGGTGCGGCTGGTGTTCTGCTGGCCGAGCAGGGCGCCAGTCTCTCTACTCCTCTCCAGACCGCGCTCAGCACCGCTGCACCACCCAACCTTCCGTCCCAGTGCTCAGCCTCAAGTATCACCTTCCTGAAGGGTTAGCTGCAGTGAACCTGGAGGAAAATTTTGCAAGCTGGAAACCAAGTGAGGCAGATTCACTCAAGCACAAGGTGATTAATGGAATTCTAATAAAACATACGAAGCAAGTCCATTACGGTGTCACGGAACTCAGGCACAGAATTCACACACAAGGTTTTATCCTATTACATTTGTTTCTCTAGTCAGTCAAAAACCTCTTCAGTAAGCGATCCTAAATGGATCCTTCACATCTAAAACTACCAGATCCAGGCTGTCCTGCTTCTCTGTCCACACACAGAGGGGCTGCCCTCCCCATTAGAGCTTCATATTAGATTATTTCAGCCTTAACAAATCTTCCACCCCTTGCTTTACCCTACTGACAAAATAGTGACCAAGGAGGACAATCTTCCTTTGTGAGAGGCTTTTAAATTTTTTGGTTTCTTTTTATTACAGTATGAATGTTACATAAGGATCACTGTCACTTTAGGGAATTAGTTCATAAAGAAATTCTGAAGTAGAGGTTTGCTAGTCCTAAATATTTATTTATTCTTCAATTTGATACTTTTAAAGGCGTGATTTTTTTTTTAAATCAATTAGGACTTTAGGATAATAGGAAAAATAAGTTACACATAAGAGAGATTTATAAATTTTTACTGCATCCTTGACTTAAAAGCTAAAATTAAAATGTATTTATATGTGATAATTATAATAACTAGCACTTAGATAACACTGTGCTCTTTGAGCTTTATGTGCATTGCCTTATCCTTTTAAACAAATCTCCAAAAATAATTACCATTATTTTCATTGTTCTTTCCATGAGGAAACAGAGGTACATGGATGTTGACTGTTCTTCAACAAGCACAGTAGGCAGCAAAGCTAGCTTTGGTGTTGGGACATTCCACTCCCCAGTCGGAAAGCACAGCCACTGTGTGATTCTTCCTCTCTACTTAACCTGGAGAAGGTCCCTGATTTTTTTTTTCCAACTTGCC